GGGTTCGAGCGTACCAGTAGGACCAGGAATCCTCGGGGCTTGAGCAAGCGACGGATATTGGCCACTGCGACCTCTCGGGGGAATGTCGCGGTGGTGAAAAGGGCCATATCGTAGGCATGATCCCGGTAGCCCTGCTCGAGGGGATTCCGATTGACATCGAAGGTTTTGTGCAGCACCTCGCCAGGCCGCTCAAGGTCGGCCGCATCTGTCGGTTGAGAGGGCGCCGCATAGGTGAATGACCGGAAGCTCCTGCCCATCTTCCTCAGTACAGAGTGAACAGAACCTCCCAATGTGCCGATCTGAAGGATGTCCATCTGCGGAAAGCGGAAACACGTCTGACTGACCACGGAGATGAGATTGTTTACCAGGTGGGAGACCTGCACGTCCTGCTTCAAGTACTCGTTTGCTTCGTCGACGTGCGGCCAGGCCACTCTTTGATGACCCGATTCGCGCAGGACGTGAGGCAGCTGTTGGCCAACTGCAGCAATCGCCCTGAGACCGGAGTCATCGATAGAAGGGCCTACTCCAGCCGTGAAGGCCTCAATACTCCCGTCCAACCGTTCGGACGAGCCTGCAAGCTGTAGTCCCTCGCGAGCATTCGCAATGCATTGGTTCATCTGTGCCAGCAGGCGAGTGCCATCACAATCCAATCCACTTCGCTCTGAGTCTGTCAGTCCATCGCTGGCCTGCTTGATGTACAGTAGCGCAAGCTCATCTCGGAGAGAGTATAGTTCTAGTACATCCGCTGGCAATGAGTGTGATGCCCTCTTCAGACTGGGCTCAAGCGGGCCCCACTCGGTCTGGGAAAGGACCTGCATATCAGTCGGTGCATTCCCCGATGGCTGGCATACGAGGCAAACGCCCTCCAGCTGGACGGCCTTTTGCCCATCCATTGTAAATATATCGATATCACCACGGATATGATCTCCGTCGACATCGGTCAGATAGCTGACTACCGTCATTTTTCCAGGGACACATAAGGCAGGATTGACCCAGATGTTGTCCACAGTTTTGGACAGCAACGCTCCCGTCAGTAGCCCCTCGTCGGGCGCACCCAGCGCGGCAATCATTGCTTGAACAGCGAGCTCTAAGCTTGCGGGATGGAGAATAATAGGTCCGTCAGGATCTCTCGAGGGGACGTGAACCGTTCCCGTGGCGAGATCCCGCCGTCGGTGGAGTCCTGTCAAGCCAGCAAATGGCCCAGTACAGTGATAGTCCACGCAGCGCAGACTGTTATAGAACCCGTTGATGTTCACGGCTGCCAACGCCGGAGCCAGCTGGCCTTGTGTGGGGAGGAGAGCACGGTCTGGATCCCCTGGATGCATGATCATCTTGGCTGTTGCACACTCGACGAACTCGCTTGATACAGCAGCCTCGCAGCGGAACAGAGCGGAAATGATTCCGTCGTGCGAGAAAATACCATCCACAGTGACAAGTACTTCCGTGCCGATGGGATCGTTCTGGATAGGGAGCGGGGTGTGGACGGTTAAATCCTTGATACTCAGCAAGCGGAGTCCCTTGGTCTCTACTATTATCCTCCCTGCCTCCAGTGCCATCGATATATATCCAGTCTCAGGGAAAACAGATCTGGATCCGACATGACGGTCCGCCAACCAGGGCAGCTCCTCTGGCCGCAGGTAGTTTCGCCAACGGAACTCTCCTGGTCCGGTCTCCGGGCTGAGAACACCGAGGAGGGCGTTCGGGGGTGTAACGCAATGGTTATAGTTCAATGATATTCGCGACTGGGCCCAGTAGGTCTGAGAGCGATCAAAAGGGTAGGGTGGTAGCGATTCTACCGGCAAATGCGATTGGCCTGGATCAAAAAGGGAGACATAGCCATCGAGACGGACGACACTAGGGCCGAGATGTGCCCAGGCCAATCCAAGGGCCATTGCCCAGCAATCAGGACCGGGCTTTCCTCTCTCAGCAAGGGCAAGATAAGGGATTGTCGAATGGGCCGAGTGCACTTTCGACAAGGTTTGCAGGACGGGCCCTCTGAGGGTCGGATGTGGCCCGACCTCGATGATGACTTCTGGCGCTCCGGCCTCTCGTACGGCAGCCTCCAAGGCCTGGGCGAACTGGACGGGACGTAGCATATTCTCAACCCAGTACTCTCCCGTCCGTTGGTTCTGGTCATGTCCCGTCATGACCTCCCCGGGGTAAACGCTAGAGTACCAGCGAGCGACAGACGGTGCCACAGCAACGGGGCAGGCTTGCATTGCCCGACGATATGGGTCTGCGCACGGCTTCATATATGGAGAATGATATGCGGTGTCCACATGGAGCATACGCGGAGTGAAGCCCAGGCTCTTCAGCAGCCACTCCAAGTCCCGCAGGCCCTCTGCGTCCCCGGACAGGGTGACGCTGGACGGAGAGTTGGCCGCCGCCACGCTGATGCGTCCGGAATAGGGTTCTACGCCGCAAACAGCCTGTGCCTGCTGCCAGGTCAGATTGACGGCCATCATACGACCCGTTGAATCCCGCGACTCGTCGATTGCTCTTCCCCGAAGGTATGCAATGCGGATGGCATCCGAGGCCGTCAGCACACCCGCAGCATAGGCTGCTACAATCTCCCCGGAGGAGTGGCCGACAACCATGCTAAATTCAATCCCTACCGCACGAAGGATATTGACTTGCATGATTTGCAACGCTGTCCGCAGAGGGAGAGATAGAAGGCCCTCGTGTACGCGCGAAGAGGATGCTGGCCGTGACAATTCCCGGAGAAGAGAAAATTCCGGGCGGAATTCCAGAGGGAGCTGATCCAGAGCTTCCTGCAGATCCGCCATCCATTGTCGAATCTGAGGACTTGCCTCGATCAGGTCGAGTCCCATTTGCGGCCACTGGACTCCTTGACCCGTAAAGATACCCAGAACGCGCCTGGGCCGACTGCTAGATCTGGAGACGATGGAGGAGGGTTTACCCGTGGCCCTTCGACTTAGTTCTGTGTCAATGTGGTCTTGTAATTCCTCTACCGAGCGTGCTATGAGCGTCAGGCGGTGGCGATGAACGGAACGCCGAGTCCACACCGACACCGCCAGACTAAGAAGACTGACTGCTGCGTGTTCGCGTAGGAATGTCGCGTAGGATTCCAGGACGGATGTCAGTGTCCGCTCCGAGGCCGCCGAGAAGACGAAAGGCAGGCTGGAGGGCAGGTTATGCGACGGGTTGATCTGCCGGGAAGTGTAGCTTTCCAGGATAACATGCACATTGGCGCCCCCAAAACCAAAAGAGTTCACTGAGGCTCTGCGGGGACAGCCCTCTGGGAGCGCCGGCCACGGAACACACTCTGTTGGAATACATAGCTGAGCGGCAAACGCTTCTATCTTTGGATTGAGCTGCTGCATCAGGAGATTAGGAACGATCATCCCGTGCTGCAGCGACAGGGAAGCCTTGATCAGTCCCGCCAGTCCAGCAGTGGCCTCTGTATGTCCAACAACCGTCTTGATCGATCCCACATACAGTCGGTTAAGCGGATCCGCAACGGATTCAGGCCCAAAGAAACTTGCGTGTATTGCAGCCGCTTCCTGGGGATCTCCGGCCTGGGTCCCTGTCCCATGGGCCTCGAAATACTGGCACCGATCCGCGGGCCGGTCTTGAGGAGATAGTCCCGCGCGTGCGTAGGTTTTGAGAATCAGCGACTGCTGTGCCCTGGCATTAGGCATAGTGATCCCCATGGTTCGCCCGTCTGAATTCGCCCCGGAGGCTCGGATCACGCACTCGATGGGGTCCGCATCGATGATTGCGTCCCGCAGCCGTTTCAAAACCACCGATGCAACCCCTTCGCCGCGTGCGTAGCCGTCAGCCTTGCTGTCCCACATGCGACTCCGACCGGTAGGAGACAGCATCCGTGTTTTAGAGTCTGCGATATAGGCATTGGGTGATAGGATGAGGTTGCTCCCTACTGCCACTGCCAGGGAACAGTCATCGTTCTGCAAAGCTTCGACTCCGAGATGGACAGCTAGAAGACTTGATGAACATCCCGTATCAACTGTCATGGAGGGGCCACGCCAGTCGAAGTAGTAGGAGATGCGATTGGCCATGATTGACGGCGAATTGCCCGTAACCATGTACGCTGGGAGTGCCTGGGGATCCATGGCCTGGATTTGACTGTAGTCATTGCGGAGGGCACCACAGAATACTCCAGTCATTGAGCCCTGCAGCGCATCCATCCGTAACCCCGCGGCATCAAGCGATTCGTACACTGTCTCTAGGAGTAATCGTTGTTGCGGATCCATGGCCGCCGCTTCCGTCGGCGAGATATTGAAGAAGGCGGCATCGAAGGCTCGGATATCCTCGTCCAAGAAATATGATTCCTGGACGTTTGTCGTCCCATGGTGGTCTCCGTCTGGATGATAAAATGCGTCGATATTGAATCGGTTGGCTGGTATCTTGCGCGCAATCTCACGGGGATCTCGGAGAAGCTCCCAGAGTTTAGCAGGGGAAGAAGCGCCCCCGGGAAAGCGACATCCTGTGCCAATAATCGCAACGGGCTCAGTTTCTTCCATTGTGAGTTTGTGCGGATGGGGAATAGGTAAGCTCTGGGATCTAAAGTCAATAATTACCTGTTGAGTGGGCGTAGCTCTACAAGTGTATGTAGATATGTAGAAAGCTGTGTTGCCTCGGCTACTGCCACCCTCCACCCTCCCGTCAACATTGAAACTATCGAAAAAACGACGAAAGCACCTTATCGACCAAATTTTGGGAATGGATAGGTCACAAAATAGTTTTCCTACGAGGGAAGCATTTTTCCACTCAATACAGCAGTCACAGACTGGCCAGACACGGTTTAAGGAGCGGTGAGCAAATATGGCGCCGTCGGAGATCCCAGGGCTGACCTGCATATGTATTCGTCGATCCAAGGATGCTCCTTGCACGAAGGAGTGGAGTCGGTACGATCACATCTCTGGGTCATGTCTTCTTCATCTTCTGTATTTCTCACCCGAGATGTGACAATAATATCTAGCATCTCGTTCAAGCGACTTTGAGACGGCATGGACAACATGCCTCTGGGCTCAAACTGGGCCAGGGGACTGGCAATTATCTTGTTTCTGGGTCCCTTGACCCTTCTTCTTGTCTCTTCGTACCTCTTCCCATCGACGTTGACGGTGATCAATAGTGGAAGAGCCTGGGACGTCTTTCGCACCACGGCGAAGAAGCGATTTCGCTCAGACGCGGCACGTCTTCTTCAGAACGGCTTCGAGAAGGTGAGTCGGAGAGAAATCTACGTTATTCAGGATATGGAGTACTGAAGTCCATTGTCATGTCAGTCTCCTGATGCCTTTCGCATTCTCACTGACAACGGGCCTTTGCTGGTCCTGTCGCCTCGATACGCTCGAGAGGTTCGCAGCGACGATCGCCTCAGTCTGGACCATTTCATTGCCTCCGTTCGTCTTTCCATGTCCAAACTCCATACTCGTCATTACTGAGTAGCCTGTCTAGGAGTTTCACCCCGACATCCCGGGGTTTGAGCCATTCAAATTGATCTTGGATCCAAGGAATCCGTTAAACACGATCCTCAAGACGAGCCTTACGCAGGCACTAGGTAGTTACATGATCCGGCCAATCTCTGACAACACAGTCCTTGGCTAATATTAATCAAAATGAGTAGCATATATGACAGAGGACTTGTCTGTAGAGGTCGCCGACGCACTATCCACAACCTTGACCGATGACTCTGGTGAGTACACACCAGATGATCGCTTCGGTGTCCGGATATGAATACTGACATTCCTCTACGCGGTAATAGAGTGGCATGAGATCAGCCCCTGTCAAACGGCTCTCAAACTCGTCGCGCAGATGGCATCCAAAGCCTTTATCGGACAAGAGAAATGCCGGGATCCCAAGTGGCACAACATCATTATCACCTACACGCACAATGTCTACCTAGCAGCACAAGCACTTCACTTTTGGCCCAAGTTCCTACGACCCATCGTGGCTCGGTTCCTGCCCGCATGCCAAACCTTGCAGGCTCAGATTGCCGAAGCGCGAGAGATCCTTGAACCTTTGGTGGCCCAGCGACGAGCCGACAGGGCCAGCCGGGCCGCTCAGGACAAACCTGTGCCGTCTCGCGCGGATGTCATCGACTGGCTGGAAAATTCTTATGGCGATCAACCATATGACGCCGTGGCCGCACAGCTGCTGCTCTCATTTGCCGCGATCCATGGAACCTCTAACCTCTTGGCGCAGGCGCTCATGGACCTCTGCACGGATCCAGACCTAATCCGGGATATTCGTGCAGAAATTATATCCGTGCTGGGTGATGAGGGATTGACCAGGGTCGCTTTGTACCGGCTCAAACTGATGGACAGCGCATTGAAGGAAAGCCAACGCCTGGCGCCGAACAGATTGTGTACGTCCCCTTCCCTGCCGCCCGTCTGGAATGGCAAATTAATCTAGGTGTTCTTTGACAGTATCCATGGGCCGCATCGCGCAGAGCGATATGCACTTGTCTGATGGCCTGCGTATCCCCCGAGGCACGACGCTCATGGTGTCTGCCCACACCATGTGGGAACCTGAGATCTACCCGGACCCTCGGCGATACGACGGCTACCGGTTCTACAAGCTACGACAGGCATCGGGGCAAGAGGGCCAGCACCAACTAGTGTCGGCGACGGAGAAACACATGGGGTTCGGATACGGGAAGCACGCTTGTCCTGGGCGGTTTTTTGCGGCGGCCGAGATCAAAGCAGCCTTGTGTCATATCCTTCTCAAGTACGATCTGGAACATCGGGATGGCCAGCCGCCGCGAGTCTGGAGTCAGGGCATTCATCTGTTTCCAGATCCGACGGCCAGGATCCACGTCCGTCGACGAAAGGAGGAGATTAGCCTGTGAAGACTGCCTGCATAGAACCCGCTCTTCTATGATCGACATCGGAGCCTGCCGTAGACATTTGGCAAGATGTTTAGCAGGTCACAGGTGGGACTTGTCGCGCGTAGGACATGATTATTGGGCCAACTTTCGGGTGACGAGAGGGAATCTACGGACAGTCTGTGGATCATTTTGCACATCTAGCAGTTAAAGTAGACTTACTTTTTTTTTTTTGCAGATTGGTTCAACGTAATCGGTTTCATTCCCTGTATCAAGAAGCCGACACCATTGGAGTGCTGATTCCGTAGCGTGTATCTTCCTACACTTGTTCCTCTGCCAAAATGCCATAAGCCCTGTGATTTTCCATACCGCGATTGCCAGTTTCAGGCTCTGAAAAGCGACGTCCTGCAACAGCAGGGATACCTTATGCAAGCGGTGTGACGACAGCTGGCTGTTTCGGGGCCAAGGGAAGCCTGCAGTACAGTTCTGTATAAAGCAACGGAAAATATTTTGCGGAAAAAATGAGAGAAGCATATGATGAATATTGGCAGATCTTAAGATACATCTCGACTTGCCACGGAGCTCAGAAGATATCATGCATAAAGTGGCGTTCGTATATCCAATGATGCGTGACAGAGGTTTAGAGGAGCTGAAATTGCTGTGGAGAACAATCTGGACCAGATTTTGAGGCATAGAAAAGGCAACCAGGTTTTGACAGATTGCATTGCAATCTCTGGAATTAGTGCAAGACAAATGTGCCTCTGGAATTGGGTAGCTGATCTACGCAGATCATCCTACTATTGATATGGTTACACCAGCACCGCGCACGCATGAATCAAGAGAAGCAAGGGGCGTAAATAGTTGCCCCCACTTGGTCTCTTGTACCTGCTGTCAGAATCTTGCCGCCTGACTGTTCGACAGGATGGCTTAGTAGTAGCACACATGCTGTCTGGTGGAGGATTTAGTCAGGGTGATTAAATTCCCTACTGTTGTTCTACCACGAACCTGGTTGGACGAGTGGTTTGAGTCTGCTTGCACACTATTTGTGACATCTAGAGCATTTGCACTATGATCAGATTTGAAGATGCTTCCATAGGGACTGTATGGGTGACCTGTCTGCTTGCAGTGGGCCTGTATTTCATTCGATCGCGACTCCTCGGCGACCAATTCGATGGGTTTCCCAGTGTCAATTCTCGAAAACCCTGGGAAGTGCTCAATGTATTCGCGCACAGGAGATTCCAGAAAAATGGTCCCGAGTATCTCAAAGCTGGGTTTTCCAAGGTGCGTCCCATCCAGACAACTACATCATGACGCAAACGGGAAACTAAAGGGCATTACAGTCGCCCATCTTTGGCGTGGTCACCGACCTGGGGCCCAAACTTGTGGTGTCCGGGGCCTTCATCAAAGATTTCAAGGATGAAAGACTCTTGGACCATTACAGGGCGATGATCGAGGTAAGTGTGGCCTGAACAGTGGTAAAAGAGCAGACGCCAGCTTACTTGTTCGAGGACTTTATGGCAGAGGTACCGGGCTTCGAGTCGATGTTTCTGGGCAACCTTCACAATACGGTTCTGCGCGATGTAATTTCCGTCATCACGCGAGAATTAGGTGATTGCTTTTCCCTCTTACTATCAGCTTGTCCCACTGATGCCCGTTTGACAGAACAGTTTACGCTTCCTCTGTCAGATGAAGTGTCTGCGGCCCTGGGAGATACGTGGTCAGTTTCACCAGGTAAGTCAAGCCAGACCCAAAAGGAGAATTCCAGAAATGGCCACGGTTAACCTTGGTCATTCTTAGACTGGCACGAGGTGACGCTGCTTCCGAGCATGCTGGGGCTGATTGCAAGAGTCTCGTCTCTCATCTTCGTGGGCGAACCGTTGTGCCGTAATCCTGCCTGGCTGGAGACAGTCGTTAATTTCACCATCGTTCGACACCACGCAATTCTAGCTCTGCACATGTGCCCCGCTGTGCTTCGACCCGTCCTTCACTGGTTTCTCCCTCCATGCCAGAAGCTCCGGCGGGAAATCAAGGCAGCACGGGGACTGATCAATTCTGCTCTGGAGGAATCGAGGAAGAACCCACGCACTGACAGATTCTCCAGCCTCACCTGGGTCGACGCTTTCGCCAGTGGCAATAAGTATGATGCAGCCATGGTGCAGCTAAGACTGGCGAATGCATCCATCCATTCCAGCGCCGATCTCTTGATCAAAGTGCTCATCAACCTATGCGACCAACCGGGCTTGATCCAGGACCTACGAGAAGAGGTGATTTCAGTCCTCGAGAAGACTGGATGGCGAGCCTCGACGCTGAACCAACTAAAACTCCTTGATAGTGTTTTGAAAGAAAGCCAGCGACTGCATCCAATCACAACTGGTACAAGTCCTGGGCCGTCGAATCTGGCACATGCTTACCGTTGCTCTAGGTACATTTTCGCGCTTTACCCGACAGAACATCAAGCTGACCAATGGCACGGAGATTCCCACGGGAACGCCTGTCATGGTGACTAACGACGTCGCGGGGGATGCTGACATCTATCCTGATCCTGAGGTCTTCGATGGGTACCGGTACTTGAGACTGCGTGAAGGAGCCGACAAGTCCCGAGCACCGTTCACGACGACGGGCCAAAACCACCTGGGGTTTGGGTACGGGAAGTATGCCTGTCCTGGTCGATTCTTTGCAGCTACGGAGATCAAGATAGCGCTCTGCCATATGTTGCTGAAGTATGAATGGAGGCTAGTGAAGGACAGTCCGCATGATATGCTTACGAGTGGGTTTGCGTCGTTCCGTGACCCAAGAGCAAGGATAGAAGTTCGAAGACGCGCGCCAGCTCCAAAAGAATTTGAAGTATTGACTCAAAAGTAATTCAGGTCAATCACAGCCTTCATCAGGAAATCATGTGCCGAAGGGAAGAGGGATGAATATCAAACCTCGTTGACGATGGAGAATAGAAACTTAGGATAGGGTAGATGCAATGTGTTCAAAGCCGAAGCGGTTATTAATAAGGCAAGTATCAGACTCTATTGCGATGTTGGTAAGAATATTAATACTGCTCATCCTTGTGAAACGCACATTACTATAAAGCCCAGCAGGTTAGTCTTAAAGGAAAAGGAAGGGTGGGGCTTCTGACCTATGTATACCGTATGTGTCCTAGTTTGGCTGGTAGACTCGAGCAGAAACCAGCCATCGAACACTGTCTAATCCCCAAATATCCTTCTGAACAGCAATCCATCGTCGTATCACCCTCCTCGCTGACCATTATCCTCCATAACTTGCTTCATTTTCTATATCGCATCCCTTTCAAAGACAAGACAGCCGCTGCCATGGACGGGTGGTCAGATATCTCATCGGCACCTCCCCAGTACAGAGAAGTTGCCTGGATAGCGAATTGGGCCCTGCTGGCCCAAGGATTGGGATGGTCTATCAACTACCTGGCCATGATATACCAATCGTACAAGGACCGCACCTACGGCATGGCCATCCTGCCACTGTGCTGCAACTTCGCCTGGGAGTTCGTCTACAGCGTCATCTACCCATCTCACAATTCCGCCGAGAGAGCCGTGCTCACCACATGGATGATTCTGAACCTCTTCCTCATGTATACGGCTATCAAGTTCGCCCCCAACGAATGGCAGCACGCCCCGCTCGTCCGGCAGTGCCTTCCATGGATCTTCCCCGTGGCGATCGCAGCCTTCACGGCGGGTCATCTAGCACTGGCCACGACGGTGGGAGTGGGCAAGGCGGCCAACTGGGGCGCCTTTCTGTGCTTTGAGCTGTTGACCTCGGGTGCAGTCTGCCAGCTCATGAGCCGGGGGTCAAGCAGGGGAGCTTCGTACACGATCTGGTATCTTCCTTTTGCCTTTCAGATCTTACGTCAGCGTGCCATTTGACTAATTGGGTTTTCAAAGGCTTTCGAGATTCCTGGGTTCGTACATTGGTGGAATCTTTCTTCATGTGCGGGAAACGCATTGGCCGCAGGAGTTCGGCTGGATCAGTCACCCTTTCGTCGCCTGGCATGGTCTCATGTGTTTCTCCCTGGATATTGCCTATGTGGTTTTTCTGTGGCGCATTCGGCGTCAGGAGCACAGAAGCCAATGGAAGAAAGCTCTATGATCGACTGAAGATTATGCACGGTGATACTACGTACATGGAACCTGGGTGCTAAATGGCGGTGAGCATACCAATCGAGATCGGCGAGGATTGAGACCGAAGAGCTGAACATGCAAGGGGTAATGTGGCTATGGAACTGACCGATCGGTCGATCCAGAATGTTCGTTACGAGCCTGGACACGTTATGCCATAATAGTTTAGCAGACGAGGAATTTTCTCTAAGAATATGAGAAAGTATAGGTGAGAGCAAGGGAGATTGCACGTGTAGCCATACTGGCAAATTCCAATGGTGCCGATCTGGCAAGTTGCTGCAGAATGTTGTGGCAGTCTTTTAAGGTACTAGCTGTAACTTTATTTTCTACATAAAAGTGCACAGGTATCAAGGTTTGTACGTTTAGTTGCTTCTATTTTCCCCCAGCACAGCCATAGAGCATCATGAGAGTCCTCATTATTGGAGGATCCATCGCCGGTCTCACACTCGCCCACTGCTTGGAAAAGGCCAAGATTGACTATGTCCTGCTGGAGAAGAAGGAGGAGATCGCCCCTCAGGAAGGAGCATCCATCGGTATCATGCCCAATGGCGGCCGAATCATGGAACAGCTTGGGTTATACCACCAGATCGAGCAGCTGATCGAGCCTTTGGCGAGGGCGCATGTAACCTACCCCGATGGCTTTCACTTTACTAGTCAGTATCCTGCACTGTTGCAGCAGCGGTCAGTCAATATGCGGCGTCCACTTCCCCCTCCAGGCTAATGCGGGGTCTTAGGTTCGGCTACCCTCTTGCATTCTTGGATCGACAGAAGTTGCTGCAGATCCTAGCGACTGGGCCGGTCCAATCCGGCCGAGTGAAACTCGGTCACCAAGTCGTGAACATCGAGAGTACTCAAGATGGAGTCACCGTGCGAACAAGCAACGGACACGTCTACCAGGGCGATCTTGTCGTCGGCGCAGATGGAGTACACAGTCGGATACGGGCAGAGATGTGGCGATTGGCCAAGGCATCACAGGGGGAGATCTTTCGGAGTGAATACAATAGTATCTACCCCACTGTGGCTTTTTCTTTGGTTTTTGGCCTATTTTTTTTGGCCATGCACTTGAAAACTAACGCACCATTTGGTTCATAGAGTTGACGATCAACTATGCCTGTATCTTTGGAATCTCATCACCAGTCGATCAACTGGAACCAGGGGAGCAAATCACCTGTTACAATGACGGGTGGAGTATCCTCAGCGTGATCGGCCAGAATGGCAGGGTCTTTTGGTTCCTCTTTATCAAACTCGAAAAGGAATCCGTCTATGATGGATCACGCAAAAATGTGCCTCGCTTCAGCCCCGCAGACGCCCGAGCCCACTGTGAGAGATTGGTGCATGAGCCAGTCTGGAATGGTGTCGAATTCGGCCATGTCTGGGCGCAATGCGAGGTCTTCCAGATGACACCTTTGGAGGAAGGTCTATTCAGCAAATGGCACTGGAGGAACATCATCTGCATTGGAGACAGCATGCACAAGGTCAGCAGCCACCTTGACTCTGATTTGCGGGATATTGACTCAGGAGACCACCCATGCAGTTCGCACCCCATATCGGACAGGGTGCCAATTGCGCCATCGAGGATGCAGCACAGCTCAGCAACAGGTTACGGACTTGGCTGTACGGCTGTGGACCCGACGATCCGCCCGCAGCTGCTGATCTGTCAGAGGTTCTGGCTGGCTTCGTCGAGGGTCGCCTCCGTCGGCTAGGCCCGGTGGCCGTCGCTGCTCGATCGGCCATGCGTCTCCACTCGCGGCAAGGGCTCAAGAATCGGATCTTGGGACGCTATCTCTTGCCCTACGCTGGAGATAAGCCGGCGGACTGGGCCTCCCGAGGCATCGCTGGTGGTATTACCTTGGAATTTGTGGAGCCACCCGAGCGGTCTGGTCCTGGCTGGATCCAGTTCAGCCAGCCACGCAAGAGGCCTACATTTTCTCTGACGGTGGCAGGTCTGTGCCTAGTGGCTATTGTGATCCGGATGCTGCATTCCACATTGGTTGTATAGTGGCATTGCCTTGTAGGATAATGGAAGCCTTGCGGTCATTTGATGACCCAGAGTCAATCGAGAGTCGAGTCGATAGATCACATTTCCTACAAGGGTTCCACAGTAAGACTATGGAACGATCCACACGACCTGCATATCTACACTTGTCTATTTTTTGTACATAATAGTAGCACTTGTAGTGGGGCTGCTGCATAAGGAGATCGAGCTGGTTGATATGAGGAAATGATCGTCTTGTATCTAGTATGGGATGCATTGCTCTATCATTTACATGTATTGCGCACATCTCAGCCATACATCTATGTCTCAACGCCTCAAGGGGTCGTGATAATAGTCCTTGACCTTGGAGACCAGACTTAGGCTTGATCATTCTTCTCATGATGGCCACCTCTCAGTCACAGCTGGTCCGCACGCTCATCGATGTCTCCCGATTTGACAAATACAACTGTTTATTTGCTATATTCCCTGGTGGTAATAAACCCCCTCAAAATAATCATACCACGCTAACCACTACGTCCCAGTCTGGTCCATCTTCCTTGCGGCAGCCTCGCGACACGCCGATGGCGTACACATTCCTTCAGACTGGGTGCTTGGCCGCGCAGGACTGGCCTTTATGTATACATATCTGTTGAGCGGCGCCGGAATGGTATGGAACGACTGGATCGACCGCGACATCGACGCCCAGGTCGCCCGCACCAAGAACCGGCCCCTCGCGTCCGGCCGGCTTTCCACGAGAGCTGCCTTCATCTGGATGCTGGTCCAGTATGCGGCCTCAGTCTGGCTTATGGACCGCATGCTGAGCGGGCGGAACGTGTAAGCCGATCCATGACAATCATACTGCCGATTTTTGAAATCATGGAAGCTCATTCTCTGTAGATGGACATTCATGCTCCCCCTCACAACCGGCATCATCCTCTATCCCTTCGGCAAGCGCCCGACAACGCGTAAACTGGGCATCTACCCCCAGTACATCCTCGGCGCCAGCAGCGCCCTCACCATCCTCCCCGCCTGGGCCTCCGTCTACGAAGACAGCGTTTCGTCACACGACCTGGTCGCGAAATGTCTCCCGCTCTGCGTCTTCCTGTTCCTGTGGACCATCTACTTCAACACCGCCTACAGCTACCAGGACATCAAGGATGACTGTAGGCTCAGCGTCAACTCCTCGTACGTCTTCGCGGGCAACTACGTGCACGGGTTGCTCCTGCTGCAAGCCGTCGCCGTGATCATGGCGATCCCGTGGATTCTGCATGAGAACGGCTCCGCTTGGCTCTGGTTCTCGTGGCTGGGGGTGTGGACGGCCTCTCTCGGCGAGCAGCTATATCTCTTTGATACGAAAGATCCGAGTAGTGGGGGCAGAGTGCACCGGCGGAATTTCGCGCTGGGGATTTGGAATGTTCTGGCTTGTTTCGTTGAGCTGTTGCTTGTGTCAGGATCTCTGGATATGTTTTAATCTGACATAAATCTCGGGAGGTTCATCATGGATGGATGTTGTAGCTCTGTTGATACAGATAAGTGCTATCTTGCGTATTTCATTATTCTCGTCTACTTCTTGTTTTATGTTGAAATGATGCAGTTAAGGTTCCTTGACCAATGATCTCAAGCCATTACAGAAACAGTAGTATCCCAGTGAGACAGCCCATATCTCATTTATTGCTTCTTGCGAATTCTTTTCTTTTCAAAACTGTAGGTTGAAGAACAATGCAGCGCAAGGATAGAAAGCTGTTCGTCTTGATTCTCCGTCCAGTGCTGGCACACTCCTATATTCAGTAGTTCAGGCATGATATGGATTATACTCATAGGTGCTCCCCAGCAGCCCAGCGAAACAAAGGATCATTTGCTACGTTAGATACATCGTCACGGTTGAGAGTCAGGTGCAAGTCCCACGGCTCCGTGCTATCTTGACGCTTTGGAAGGATAAAACACATCCCCCCCAGGACGGGTAAATGTAGTTGGAACCCTCGAGGCTGCGATCCCAGGCTCTCTCCAAAGTCCAGACCAAAGATTTCAAAATTCCTAAAGCTGCTCAAGGGGATCGGGACACCCCGGAATCCAATTTTCGCCCAGTCGGTCTGCGAGTGGAGGTGGGAAAGAACGCCTTGTATGTACTCTGCGTCAACATCGAGAAGGCTTTGTCGTATACGGGCTGCAATCCGGGTGTGCTCTTCCAGATACTCCTGGGGCAATTCTGTTGGGGGAAATGGTCCATCGACTGGGGCCGGGTCCTTCCTAGCGGGGATCGGCGTGTATGTCAGTAGCACCATGTTTCCCAGATAGTTATTGAAGGCCGGTGATTGGAAATTGGCGCGCATGTCCACTGCAATCGACAGTTCAGTAGATTGACCAGCCAATTGTCCCGCTTGCCGAAGTATCATGGCTATCAGGGCGCTCACAGTGTCGTTATTGGATAGGATCCTCGGAGTCGGCCTCCCAGCCAGCGCAGACGTTTGCCCCTGTAGCAGCGCATTGCAAGCTCCTTTTAAATACTGGACCTTGAAACCGGGAATCGTCAGTCGCCAGGTTACAAGTTCGGTAGCTCTCGCCTGCAGGAAGCCTGACCAATTCTCCGCGAGGAGTGCCGCCCAATCTCCGAGGCCGCAATAGTGCTGGCTGAAATCCGCCCTCGAGGCGCCGGAACTACATCCTGCCGCAAGACAGTCAATCTGCGATCGTAACTGCCGGTCTGGTATCACACCCGCCGAAGACGCGGCCGGATCCCTGCAGTAATCGGCTAGCAGGCCCAGGACTCGTGCAGCACCCGCGCCATCCATTGCAGCGTGGTGGAATGTCATGGCGAGAATGACCCCATCGCGCATGATATTGGCTTGGAAGCGCAGAACCGGCCTTTGTGGCAGCGAAAGATCCATGTCGATAGGCAACGGGGCGAGCTGACGCATGATCTCCTGTTCCTCGGCGCCCGTTAGGAGGCGTTTTGACTCGAGTTCCTTGATCGAGTTGGCCAGGCAATATCGTGTCTGGAGCATAGGGATCTTGAGAAGCGACTCTGGAGCGTCTGGTTCGATCTGCCAGGTATTCTTCCTCTGGCTAAATTTTGTCTGGCGAGTCACGTCTCCTGCGAGGAAGGGGTGAGCTTTCAGCAGCTGTTTGATGCCATCCTCCAGGACCCGAATACCTTCCTCGGGCTGTGCGGCATGGAAGAACAGCAAAAAGGTGACGTTTATTCCGAGAGGATTGTGGTCGAGCGAAGACAGAGCATACGGAGAGTCGTTGCTGGGGACACCTTCACATGGGCCATGAAGGCTAGCAAGTCCATCGTGTACCTGTTCATCCTGATTGACCCGAGAGTGTGTTCTCTGGGCGCTCATGATTCTCATATGTATGGGCTGAACTTATCCTACGGAGTAGGTTGTCTTTGCGTTTTAGTTCTGACTCCCCCGTTCTTGCTTGCTCTAACTTCTTGTATTTAGTTACGAACAGGCAAGTTTTTTTTAGCTTCCGCATCTTTGTTGGGTTATTTCAGTTTTCCTAATTGGAATGGATCGATCCCACGCAGATCGCAAATTCAGTGTATTTGTGACGCAACCTGCAGGAAGCTTCACATGGTTAGATCATTGGATGACTTGACCGACTTTTCAGCTGCATATTACATATACATCGAAAGAATGAGGTTGGTTAGATTTCAGTGGCCCAGCTGGTATTGATTGTGTCTCTTGACTTGACTAGTCGAAACTTTGTTATGGACGCCACATGTAGATGTTTCCACTGCGCTAAATAATCAGCTTGCAGTAGTTAGCTATTTCCAAGCGCTCATTGATCAGTTCACTGTAATGACAACCTGATCCACATCTTGCTAGCTAGATCCCCGACGGCAACCTGAATCATTTTCGCCGACTTCTCAGCTCAAAGGCCAGAAATTGGTCACACAGCTCCACCAGCATCAGCAACCCCCCTGCCATGTCTCACGCATGGTGGCCATGGCAGGTGGATTCTTAGCGCTGAGTACTATCACCGTCCCGTCCTATTAACACAGAAGCCAATCGAATTCTTGAGTCTATCCTTTAGTCTACCCTTCTTGAGATCGACACACCAAGTTCAACGAGTGGTACGTGCATTCTCTGGCTTGTGAGCTGGGTTTGAGATTGGCTGGAACTGCGAAGTTAGCCTGACGGTCCTCACTGGATCAGTCTGATTACAGCGCTGTATCTATCAATCGGGGCAAAAGAAGAACCAATGACTTGTATGCATCCACCCTTGCATTAAAACAGATACAGCAACAACAACACAAGCAATGGAATGCCAATGTATATAGCTCACCTCTTCCTGAGAGCAAGTCGTACAAGGGATTGTCTGGTTAGCAACGATGGATCTCGTGCTTTCGTCAACATTGTGGTCTATTGCCCAGGAGCTAGCACTTTATCTAGCTTTTACTGTGCCCACTGCCTTTGTCATCATAACCACTCAAAAGTCATCCTTTCTTCGACTGGCCTGGACGCCATGTCTTTTGTACATTCTGTATCGATTCTCCCTCCAGGTGCCCTCGCTGACCACGAGTCAATTCCTGAAAGGCGTGGCGGCGGGCCAAGCAACTGTGGCAGCTCTGCAATGCCTCAATCTCCTCCTCATCACAAATCTAGATGAGACTGAGCTGGTACATGCAGGATTGTGCATCCCATCTTCAGGTCTGTATTTTCGCGTTGCCTGTGCCTGGGCATTGTTAGTCAACTTCCGAGGTATCGGCACAGTCTGGGAGGTCAAGAATGTACCCCAGCACGCAGCTTACCTCCAGAAAACCAAGCAGCAAAGGCTGAGCCGGAGGCGGTACGTCCTACGGGAAAGCGCCATTATCATATGGCAGTACCTGCTGCTGGATTTAATCTACATGTCGACAAAGGACACGCCCCCGAGGGACTTGGCGCGCCTGTTCGGCCCAGGCTTGGAGTATAGGTATCTCGACGCAACGTTTGAACAGTGGTTAGGGCGTGTCTCTGTGGGGATCTTCTCCTGGCTTGTGCCGTCGCGCGTCTGCCTGAACATCATTTCCCGGATCTACTTCCTCGTCTTGGTGGTGCTGCGCATTTCTGCGCCGGAGTCTTGTCGGCCGGGCTTCGGCAGAGTGCGGGATGCTTGCACCATCCGTGGTTTCTGGGGGTAAGTGAATTTCCCGGGATGATTTCCCAGATTTCCTGGAGTTTGCAAGGCAAGCGAGTAACCCACACAGTAAATTCTGGCATCAATCCTTCCGTTGGCCTCTCACCTCGGTGGGTAGTTATGTCGCGAGAGACGTCTTGCGCCTCCCCCGCCCCTCACTTCTGGAACGCTACACCAACATCTTCTTCACCTTTTTCACATCCGGCGTGCTACACCTAGCCTGCGATGCTATCTTGGGTGTCCCACCATCTGTGTCTGGGGCCATGCCTTTCTTCTGCTTGTTTCCGCTAGCCATCATGCTCGAGGACGGGGCCCAGGAAGTTTGGCGCCGGGCGACGGGGCAGAGTCAGGGCGCGGTGCCCTTCTGGCAGAGGCTCGTGGGATTCCTTTGGGTGGGTAGCTGGATGTGTGCGACGTCGCCGTGGTACTTATACCCAGCTGCGCGACAACAGCCGGAGAAAAACTGGATGGTGCCCGTCAGTGTGGTGGAAGAGATTGGTCTGGGGGTTGCGCAGAAGGTCCTGCTGGTTTATGGGGTGGTGCTGTACTGGGCGATTGGTGGGGAGATTTAGAAGTGTCAGATCATTGATATTTGCATATATCTGCTTGGATACTTTATTCTGCGCGGTTGTGTATCGATTACCATCTGGTAACCTACGACTGATTCTAGTCGATGCCATGCTGTATGACAACTGCGATCCAGGCTCTTAAGCGAAAGAATTGTTATTTCATGGAGAATGTGAAGAGCAGGCAACAGGTTACAGATTCCATCGGGTACATAATGACTCAGTAAGATTGATGCTTGAACAAACGTCAAATTCGTTCAGTACTGTACGTTTCCCAGAGATAAATTCGTTTCGACCATGAAAACATTATTTTACTGCCCCCGAAACGCCTCCTTCAGATGCAGCAGGCTTTATTCCGACTGATGGAGCACCTGGAGGCGCCTCACACCTCGAACAATCGACTTGTGCAATGTGGGAATCAATAACACTGCTACAAGGCCGGCTGTTATGGCCGACCACTTTGAGATCAGTGCGATCGCATAGGGAAAAAATCGCAAAGGTCACTCGAAAAAGTGATTATTGGCAGCAGATATCTATACTAGCGAGACAAATCGTTCTCCGATCTCCTGCTGACCCAACAGTCTCGGAATATCAAGTTCTTGTCTCTGGTTGTTTGTCAAAACCTGCTGGCAGTTTGCTATATTTTGGAAACTGCATGTTGTAGTATTTTTTGAGGGCGTTAACCGAGTTCGTCGTATTTGCGTCGTGCTCGTTTACTCTCCGAGTCGTGTGAGATTTCCAATAGTGGCATGTCACTGTGGATAGCTTTTATGCCGTTTTCCACATTGTTACTCAACAGTAAGGTACCTGCTTTTGTTGCCAGGCTCCTTGTCAGGGAGGCTATGATTTTGCAATCCTCGTAAAATGTTAATAGTCATGGTTGGAGTATAGAGGCAGTTCTTATGTGAATTTGTCTGAAATAACTGGGTCAGAATGGTGTGTGATTGTGGCTGACTGGGCAGACCAGTCCCCAGGCAAGCTTGTGCTTCGTTTGATTGTCGTCTATTCGGTGATGCGGCTGTCAGACAAACCTTTTAGCCTCTTATATGGATGGTCATGCTTGACTAGCAGGAATGTTCAGTGCTACAATTCAGTATGCAAGAAGCGCAGGTCGACCTTTGGTGACAAACTGGACCGAGAAGCATACTGTCTAGATTGGAGTGGCTAAGGGGAAAAGCCAAGGACAGATTATTACTTTTCCAAATGCTACGAATGGAAATCAAGGACACACTGGACAAGCCACTCTGTGGACCTTCAGTTTCAATACCTATAGAGTGTACGAGAATCTAGAGTAGTCTTTTTTATCGGAAACAGGTACGAGCTCATTGCATTTTTCCGGAAGAAGGTGAAGGTTGAAGAGTGGATCTGGAAGCCAACGGTACAGTATCATGCCCAGTCCATTTCCTATCTGCTCATACAGACTCGTTTGCGAGCTTTATGACTGGCCAGGTGTTGCTGCACGATCGCGCGGATCTGCTCCTCGGTCAACTCCCCCTTGCATCGCCCCTTACTGCCTTCCACTTTCTTCAGACCCATGTACACCCTGGGCGCTTCCTCTCCATCACCATCCCCTGTCTTCACTCCTAGAACTGCCACGTCTGCTATCCTCGTCTCTTTCTCCAGCAGTAGCGCCTCAATCTCCGCCGGCGCTACTGAGTAACCTCTTACCTTGATGAGCTCCTTTGCCCGGCCCACAATGAACCAGTGGCCATCTTTCTCGTAGACGATATGTAAGGTGACCAACACACATTGCCTGTCGATAGATCACATTTTTCTGCTACTTGTACCAATACCGGAATTATGCCGTCTGGTACAAATACTCGCCAAAGTTGGCATCTTGACCTTCATTCTTCCGTATCGACTAAAGAACACCTGACATGATTTCTGGATCACAACAGTGGCGCCAGTTGAGTGTGGCTATCATTGGCGGTGGGATTGGTAAGTGTTTAACTTGCTCCCATTCTGCCTGCGCCTGATTTCTCCTCCTTCCCCCCTTGATGGACTTTATATAGTTAACTAGGGATTCCAGGGGGGCTCGCTGCCGCAACCTCTCTTCGTCGGACAGGCCACCGAGTAACAATCTACGAACGAGGAGATTACAGCGGCAGTTTGGGAGCTTCTATTAGCTGCGGTGCAAATGGAACTAAGTGGCTAAACAAGTGGAATGTCGATATCTCCCACGGGAGACCATGTAGCATTCGAAAGCTGATTCGACATGCTCTCAACAACGGAGAGATACAGGGTATCTACGATCTGTCGGGCTACGTGCGTCGTTCCGGGCTCATTATAGTTACCATCTCTCCATGCTGACGGGGCCAGGAATACTATAATTTTTTCCGAGCTGACATGCATGCAATGCTGATGAAATCAGCCACTGGACCAGGATTGGGCGAGCCCGCATCGTTGAAACGCTATCACAGCTGTAATTCGGTCGATCACGCAACTGGAACGGTCAGTTTCCAAAACGATGTGATTGTCAGGCATGACCTGGTTATTGGCGCCGATGGCGTCGGGGTAGGTCGCCGACGCCCTGCATATGGTGTATCTCACCTATTCAATAACAGCTAATTGCCTAGTCATCCGTCCGCCGAGCACTTGGGATATATCCTCAACGAAAACGAGCTACATCTACTTGCTATCATTGCGTTGTCCAGACAGCCGTTGTCCGTGGGCTTGGTCTTGCAGACATGTCCCAGAATGATGCTCTGGAGTACTGGGGCGGGCAAGGACTAGAAAAGATTGTCTTCGCTCCTTGCCGTGAGGGCGAAATCCACTCCTTTTATATATTCTTCCCTACTCCTACGAATGAGAAGGAGGAGGAGGTAGAGGAGGGTTGGGATTTTGCTGGCGACCGCAGACAGCTGCTCGCGCCGTTTCCCACACTCGATCCTGCCTTGCACGCGCTATTTAGTCACGCGGACCCAGTTGATATTCGACCTTGGCGGCTCTTCGCTCATGAACCCTACCCGTATTGGAGCAGAGGTCGTACCTGCATCCTTGGAGATGCTGCACATCCTATGCTCCCAGATCAGAGTCAGGGTGCATGCCAGGCAATTGAAGATGCCGCAGCTTTAGGCATCATCTTCGGACGCTCGTATCAGTATACGAACGACATATCTTCCGGTTTGCGGCTCTACGAGGAAGTTCGTAAACCGCGGGCGAGCAAGGTGCAAGCAGCAAGCGCCCGAGCGAGAGAGAATATTTCTGAGAGAATTGGCTTCTCTAGTCAAAAGAATAGCCCATGGTACGCAGTGGCGGAGGAGGATCAGAAACTAACTATTGAGGAGATTAACGAGTTGGTGTTTGCCTTACCTGAACTAAACAGATCATAGCTGACGGAGTACGTAGTTATGATATGCGTCAACACATCCGAAAGCAGGCCGCGCAAGAATACAGTGATCTATACCCGGGATGGCGCCTTGCTTCCACTTCCTAGCGGTCATAGTGAACTTCAAAATTCTTCTCAGATATTACAGGGTTCCGTTTTTCCGTTTCGGTAAAGGCGACCTTATCTAGGTAGATTTAGAACCCTTCCAAGTCTTCTTTGCCGTTTACGTACATGTGACCAACCAGATACGGAGAATAGACGCACAACGATATAATCGGTAGTGAACCACCAAGACCCACCAGATCCCTGGGCGTCAAAGAAACCAAAGAAAGGACAGGGGAATAACGGCAGCAGCTAGGATAGACAAGAGACTACCACCACGGACCTTGTTCTGTACCCTTGAACATAGTTGAATTAGCAGGCAGGTTGGGTCTTCATTACCCTTGACAAGCGCCATTCGCTCCCAGACTAGTCTTGGAAGCCCAGAGTGCACTACGTGCGGAAGAAGTGGCTACAGTGTTCATTCTGGAAGGAAGGGCGGCTTAAATCTTTTTTAATGACCTGCTTCCCATCATTACCAGTGATATCATGAGTGGATGTAAGACGGCAGCCTGACGACGCATCTGGCATTCACTGTGGTTATAATATGTTGCTCGGGCTGGGTCGTAGAACAGCATACAGCATTATGTGTACGATCGAGACATAAGGCTATGTGGCTTGAGAGGTATCTTAGAGGCTTCTCGTGACCAGGAATATAATTCACTTCGCTACATAATCTGCTCGTCTGTATCCTACCCCCGAATATCTGAGAATCTGGCTTACTTCACTAAGTTTCTGGAGGCTGGGGGAAGCTGTCTAGAATCACTGCTTTGCCTTTGACTATGAAACTAGCAGTGGGATATTAGTTCTCTCGTACATTAACCTCTTATGTGTACTGTCCTAGGTATAGCACTAAATCACTATTCTCTACTATATAGGCCAGCAAACCTAAAGAGATATTAATATCTACTAACCTCTTCTCACCAGGCTTGATCTGCTTTGTATAAGTGTAACCTACTAATATCTTAAGAGGATATAGCTTTAGCCTAGCATTAGTAGTCTTTAAGAACAATATCACCATTTAATCTAATGTAGTTTTCCTAGTATTAGTTACTTAGATGTGGAAGGTGTTAAACACCACCCTATTAATTAATATATTCTTAGGTAAGTCTATACTCTCTTTCTACTCCTCATACTTAAGATATCATAGTTATTATAGAGATGACTTAGAAGTATATACTTCAAGGTTGAGACTATAGCACACCTAGGGATCACACAGGCCTATATATCTAGTATAGGCAGCTCTAGGAAGGGGGCTACTAGCTACACAGTCTAAAGCACAGGGTAGATATCCTATAGATTATCTAGGTCCAGAGTGTTAAGTAGCATCACCTCATCTACTAGTGTGATTCTAAGTCTATAATAGGCCTAGAGGTGATCCTAGGTAGAGATCTACACCACTACTTAGTAGCATCAACTGCAGAGCGGCAGATGCCACTAAAGGTAGGACTAGAAGAAATCCCACAGGAGTAATTAGTGCTGGTGGACCCCACACTATGGTGTGTAGTCTGGCAGTGTGGGTGGCTGCTCAGCCCCAGGGCTCGCCATGGATGGTGATCTAGAGACTGGCGCTTTTATTATTGATTCTATTCTGCTGTTCTAGGCTAGCTAGTTCCTTTGTCAACCAGAGCAGTACATGTCAGTGGCAGCTATGGGAGGCAGGATCCATAATCCTAGATATAAAGCTACAAATACGCTATTTCACCGATTTTGAGATAACTGGAACTCATAGAAGATTCCTGCAAACCATATAACGAATAAAGCTCTAAACCAAAGAAAACTAGTTCCAGCATACCCGAATTTAGGTCTGCAATGAGACCCTATTTTACGTGAGGCATAGGTGGCGTTAGAGTAACCAACACAGAAACACTGCAGTAGTAGGGGACCCGGTTAATCAAGGCAGAAGAATAACATAGATCGAATTAGTAGGAAAAAGCGCACGGTGCTTGCAATTCAGAATAAATTATCCTTTAGCATTGGGACACTGCAACATTCCCAGACTCCGAGGCATGGAACTGGACCCATATTGCAGGCTACGGATTGCAGTGATATCATGCTACTACAATTGTCCATTTGCCTGGTGATATTCTTTCCATATCCCTCATGTGGAGTCAGTGACAGGGGTAATCCTGATCATTTCCCTCAGATCCCTACTGCTGAAACCCACCCTGATAACAAACTCGCCCTCGGGTATCAGCCACTGTTGCGACACGACATCCCAGTAGCTCAGATCTCTCCGCATTAGCTGGAAGCTCACAGCCCGAGACTCGCCGGGTTTCAGTGGCACCTTGTCAAACCCTCGGAGCTGCTTAGGCGGGGTTCCTGCTGGGGTATTGTCTGGGAAGGTAACATAGAGCTGAGGAACAGCTTTTCCCTTCACGTCTCCAGAATTCGTTACTACAACGGACACGTTGTAGACGTTCTCCCACAGGGCCGGATTGCCTCCGGGCTGGATGGGTAGCTGCTCGGGGACAGAAGAGATGGACTTGACCAGAGGTTCCGCGTTGATGTCAGAAAGGTTGAAGGTCGTGTATGACAGGCCGAACCCGAATTCATAGAGGACGGAGATGTTGTGGGCATCGAAGTATCTGTAGTCAATCTCGAGCTTTTCGTCGAACCACGCCTGCCAATCTTCTTTCCCGGTTGTCGCGATCTCCGTTGTTGGAGGCGCATTGTAATCGCTTCCGTTTCTAGCAATCGTGTACGGCAATCGGCCGGAGGGGTTAACGTCGCCGTAAAGTACATCGACGATGGAGTTGCCTGATTCCTGTCCTGGGTAATGAGCCGCAAGGATGGCAGTGACGTTAGGGTGATCGGCAAAGGGGAGTTCGTTGATGCCGGAGGAGTGAGTGATCACAATTGTATTGTTACACTTCCTGGCGACGGAGAAGACAACGTTGTTTCCATCATAGTCCACGCTGAGGTGCTCGCGATCCTCGCCCTCTTCGGCCCAAGTCTTCAAGAAGACAAGACAGGCGTCTGGCGGCGTGGGCACCCAGAGGGTCGTCACGTCGGTTGTTGCAACTTCAGTATTGTTCAACCAGTACTGAACCAAGGTGTTGGCCCGTTTGGCGCGGGATTTGATGGCCTCCAGTGAGGAGACCACGTATGTGAAGCGACCAGTTCCTGACCCACCACCGGCAGCAAGGGTGCCGAATTCAAAATTCGCTTTATTGACTGCGCCCATAGTGGGTTCACCAGCATCATTGCCGAAGATAGCAAGTGCCTTGGGAGACTTCAACGGGAGGGCGTTGTTTTCATTCTTCAGTAAGATAGTGGCCTCGGCTCCGTGCCGACGGATGAGCTTGGCATGGTCGCCACGGACATCACGGCTACGCTCTCCTGTCAGGTTAAACTCGCGAAGCCATGTAGACCTGGGAGAGAAGGTGTTGAGGTCGGCGGAAGACGGGTCAACAGAAGGGAAGTCCTGATCCTGGCCGAGCCAGTAGTACGGTGTCATTATGCGCACGATCATATCATCCACGCGAGCCTCATCAACGGTTCCATTTTTGACAGCTTGGGTGACGTTGCCCCCAAAGAAAGAACCCGCCTCAGGGATTGTTCCGTATGGACCAAGACCCCCTGGCATGTTCATATCGAGACCTGCCTCAATAGAGGCCACGCCCGAATGCGTTCCTCCCCAGTCGGACATGACATAGCCCTGGAATCCAAGCTCCTCTTTGAGCAGGCCATTGAGAACCTTGGAGTTTTGACAGGCATAAGAACCATTGAGACGCTGGTAGGAGCACATGAAGGATGCTGCCTTGGCGTGGGCAGCATTGGCAAACGGCCAGAGGTATAGTTCATGCATGGTGCGATCATCGATATTGGAGGATAGGGCTTCCTGTAAGACATCCGTGACCGTCCCATTGGGATCAAACGTTGGATTCCGTTGTGTCTCTTGTTCGTTGCCGATGAAATGTTTGGGGGTGGCCTGGACACCTGCATCGTGGTAGCCCTGAACTGACAGTTCCATGGCAATACCGGTCAGGTACGGATCGGCTGCAAAGCCTTCCCAATTTCTTCCTCCGTATGCGGACCGTCCGAGAGGGCCGGCGACGGGTGATAGGGCGATATGCGCGCCCTTGGCCCGGAATTCCTGACCCATAGCAAAGGCTCGTTCATACAGGATATCCCTGTCCCATGTCGACGCCGCTGTCACACCCGCAGAGAATACACTGGCATAATCCGCGACACGAATTGCCATAGGACCGTCTTGCAAACAAAGGCCGTTGAACCCAAGGCGTGGAATTGCCACTATATTGCCCACACAAGGCCCAGGTTGTCCGGTCACCATGTCGGCCTTCTCTTCCAGCGTCAATAGAGAAACGAACTCTCGGGCCTTGGCGTAAGCTGCATGCCATTCCCCTAGCCCGGTAGAATTGGCTGTTCTAGGCGTCAGTAACTCTCATGCAAGATTTACGACGGATCAGAAACGTACGTGAGGGAAGGACTGCGGGTGAATGCCCATACTGCCCAAAAATCGTTGTATTGCGAGGCTGAACATAATTGAAAGCATCTTCGTTTCTAGAAGATCCCTCGTACTGCTGGCTGTTGGCAACAGTAGCCGCCAGCAGGCCCGAGAAGATCAGATGGGCAATGCTTGCCATCTCTGCAACAAAATTTGGCTTGAGCCTGAAGAACTGGTCTGCAGGAGTTGTGCCGAGAGTCGGAGTTCAGCCATCCTATTTATAATCGGGCGAAAATACGGGGATTTCTTCTATCGCGCTCGAGTCACTCTCCTTCTGATACTATAAAGTAGGCTTTTATGCACCCCACAGACCTTCTCCGCATCTCCAGTCCCCGCATTTTCTTGGCTGCCGGCTAAACTCCGGCATGATGACGAACCTGGTAGGTAAAGCGTCAGCTGGCCGCCTTCGGCTTTGCCCGTGGGGGTCTTCTCGGTAAGAATGACCCGAAGATACTCCGGAGACGCAAGTTAGGAAACGAGTCATGACGGACAGAAAGTCAACCAAATTCCCTGAAGAGACAGCCCGCAGCTTCTACTGCTTGAACTACAGAGAAGCAGAGCAGACACGATTGGGGAATTAGGGTATCTTGGATCTGTCGTCTGTTCTTCCTTACTCTCACGACACCTCTTGCATCCTTCCAGACCTAAGCAACTGCAATAGTATCAAGTAAATTTCTTCACATCCAAACTCCCCTCGGAATATACCAAGTGGAGTGGATCACGCTTGGCGTTTCCTCTACCGGGCTGGTGTAAGCCCTCCTCAACCTTAACAGTAGCCAGCCATATATACCTTCTCGCCTAAATACCCTCACCGGGAATACTTCAGAATACTCTGTCCAAAGGTGACAGTGATTTTGCAACCACACTCACAGCAAACTTAACCCACGCAAGGGCCAGTGTAAAGTTTGCCGGCCCACAGTTCAAGACCCGGCTGGATGGCTCGTCAACATGGCGGGGCCGATTTCGGCGTGGACGAGTCGTTGGTTACCTTCAGAGTCGACGACGCCCGTGTCACGAGTCATTTCGGAGAAAGCATAACACCGCTGGGTGGCAAAGGCTTCGGTAACATGAGTGTGAAGATGGAGGAACCCTATGCTGCATGCTAGCGAGGTGTATTAGCAGCACTCGCAAAGACCCCGCTCCCCCTAGTTATGAGACACATCACCCAGCTCATCTACACTCACCCAGTAACTTTGTGGCCATTGCACATAGAGCGTCAAGCACTCAATGGCTTAGATATGGCTTCACCGTGTTTATAATGCTAGCTTAAGTACAGCTGAGTGGATGGTGAACCATTTTTCCACAGCCTATGGTCGTATGTGCTAAGTATCCACTGCGAGAGAGCAAGAGTCTGATATGCAGTGCAAACAATATTAGAATAGCAGCTACTATAGACTCAGGAATAGAGATAATATCTCCTTTGATCTATTATGCTTGACCTTTACCGGCTTCGAAATCACGTTTTTCTTTTATGGTCCAGCTCTTCTGAAGTAGCCGAGCTATAGTGATTGCTAGAGATAGGCTTTACTGTCAACTACCTGCGATAAGGGGACTTGGATCCATGTAGTCCCGTCGTGACACTAGTATTCAATACTTTGGCTTTTCTGTATTTTTGGCTACGGGCTAGGCATCTGAATTCTGGACTCCTGCTTCATTTGACGAAGCACCTGCATAGCCAATTATGAGCAAGCCAGAGGTTGACTACTTAGGAGGTTCCTAGCTAGCAAGGAGTTATTAACTTATTAAATAGGCTACAAGTCATTGCTATGATTGTAAGGTTTTAAGGGAATATAGATTTACTAAGTAAAATATAGGTATTATAATAATTAGAATAAACTACTTAGTTCTTATTTCGCCCTGGCACTTCAAGTGGGAGGGTCTGGCCTACTAGTTCGACTCTATATGCGCGTCCACAACCGCGGTAATACATTTGGCCTAAATGAGTCTACAGTCAAAGGAAATCGGCATGGCCGTTGCAGGCACCGCCAACGTCCTTAGCTACGCCTAGTTATTCAGTTGTCTCAGCAGATCTGGCTTGTTGCTAAATACGGGCAACTGTCAGTCGTTTCACGGTGATTCCTTCATGGTGGGAGGTGTCAGCGCAAACTTTGGCTACATCGGAACGCCTGGACTGCTCATATGGCAGAATGGTTCATGTGTGTCACCACTTTCCAGAAGGACATCGACCCACCACAAGCAGGCATATCCTATACTCTCCCCAGATTTCCAGTTCTCCAAGGCCTGGACGTTCAAGCCTTTCTGGAGGCCAGGATATTTAGCAAGGCAGATAAGCCGAGACGGATTCTTCTCAACTCTGACGTGCCCGGCGGCAACGCACACATGGTGCTGGAAGTCAGTACTCAGTCGCTATGAGCAGCGCGCCGCAGACTCTTATCTAGCCATATCATTATACCTTTTAGACCAAAGGCGTCCTACCAGGAGAACAGGCACAGACTGGCGGAGTGGCAGAAGGATAATTTGGCTTCTACTGTTAAAAAGGTCGCCTACACAACCGCGGCAAGATGGATGCACCACCCTTTAAGATCAGCCCGCACGGTGGTCTCGGGCTCAAGTGCTAATCACAAAGCTCAAGGCCTCAAACGCGCTGCTTCGTCCTCATCACTACTATAGGGCTCACCTTGTGACTTTATCTTCACCAGGAACTATTCCTACTCTGCAGACATGGACTGCATTTTATGAGACAGCTGATGTTTTTTGTGAGAGCCCAGTGAGTACGGCTTCCCCCATATTCCTAGACCTCATCCCTGATACTGGCATCAACATAACCACCAAGACCATGGTAAGCAACTAACTGTGATAAATAGATGAGCCCGTTTATACTATCCTCGCCGCGTAAATTCGCTTGTGGACTAATCTTCTCTTCAATATTTTTGGCTACAATGTTTTTGGTGTTCTAGCTAAATAAGATGTGCTATACTCAGCAACTTACTTGTTAAACCTTAATCAACTAAGGTACTAGGACCTTTTATTGCTCCAGATTAACGGGACGTGAAGTTATGAAGCTGGTATAATACAGAGAAATAGCATTAAGTGATCCTACTTTACATCATTATCCTACTGAACCCACATCCGCCCTGTACTTTCGTGGCTTCTTGGCTGGTCAGAAAGTTGCATATTTGACAGTAGACATAAGGTACATTACCTTTGCCAGGATACACATATCGTATTAAAATCAACCTTTAAGATAGATATACGATGCTATATGAAGAGAAGTTGCCATCATGGCATTGTTTCAGTTTCGTATCCTCATTGAAAACTCGATCCGTCTCGGAGCCACGTTTGGGTGCCATGTGGGATAGTGGACTCTCAGTGCCCAAAACCCTAAGTCTCCGTATCTCAAACTCAAAAGGACCCTTTAATGGTCAGGTGACGCATGCTCGCTGTTAAAACATGGTGGATGGGCTGATTAGATGATAAACTTTCTTGCGGAAAAACTGCGGTTCAGGTTGGAAATTGGCTGGCTACACCCCATTCCTTGGGTCCACATAGTCCAACGGTCTAGCCACAACAGCGAGTCCTCCTTAACAATTAAATGTACACGTCATGATGCGATATCGAAATTCCACAGCAGATGTGGGGTCTGCCAACGGTATATATCAGAAGGAAAAATACTTATGAGTAGCTATGATTGCAAGGTCAGAGTTGCTTTGATCTCACAGTTGCTCCTAAGCTGCTCTATATATCCCTTCCAATGTAAGCTTTATCTGCCTATAATCCGTTTCTACTTTCCATTAGAGGAAATTCCAAAATCCTAGTTCTACAAGATCAATATACACTAACTTCTTCCTTTTCGGAACCATAAAACAGCTACCTAACTGCGATAAGGGCTACAAAACGCCAAAGGGTGACAATAAGAACCTATTGTTCCTTGTTTCGCTATCCTGCCCGCAAAGCCATCACGCAATCAAGCAACCAGTCGTACCAATCTAAGAAGGGAAAAAATGGAAAATAAACTGTGTTCTCAATTAGCCGGCCGGGAATCTCCAGCTCCTGAAAGCCAGACCGCTGAACAGCAGATCCCTTTTTGCTGGGGTAGAATACCTCGCAGCTCGCAACAAGAGACGGAGATTCAGATCCAGCAAGCATCCGGCAATATCAAGCCGTTCCAGTTGGAAAGTAACCCTATTCATCCTCTTGAGGGCCCTGAGATGGCGAAATACGCAGGTGACAAAATTAGGCGTCTGTCTTATTAAGGTTGTTAACATGGCTGCTTTTTTTAGTGCAAGTTATCATCTTTGCAGAAGTAGGCTCCCTAATGGTAATTTCTTATTATTCTATAGTAGGATGATGTTCCGCTAGAATAGGAAGGGGCCGAAAATCATTTTAAATCTTCTATTTTTCCTCCTTAATCGGGGCCCTTTCCAAGTTATCATCACCTACACCCTACAACATACTAGGCAAAGGTCACTTGCATATATGGATTTATCAGTTCAAACAGAAGACACTGCTGAGTGAGAGCTGTGCTTATAAAGTGCTTATGAGTAAAAAAGCTATCCAGAAAAGCAACAATGTTCCTCCAATGCTAACAGGATATTCAACTCATCATCTCAAACCAGGCCAAAACCCCCCAACCCCCACCCCCCAAAAAAGGAAAAAAAGACATTAGTGATTTCAATCCAAATTAGATTAAAATGAGTCCTTCCTCTCAGCAACACCCTCGCAGTTGATAACCAGCACTGACGTCAACTGCCGCTCAGGCCTAGGAATAAGCTACTCTGTTGTCAAAACCTGCTCCAAATCCACCGACGTCAAACTAAAATGCCAAACCTGCGGCGAATCAGTTTTCGGCAACTCAATCTGGGACAAGACCGCAGACTTCTGCTGGCTGCTTTGTGAAAACCAGAACAAATAGGTATGAAACTAATACATGCGACAGCGCACAGCGGCAGTGGCAGGGGATCAACAGGCAAAGGACCCGATCTCATAAAACCCGCCAAGAAGGAACTCGGTCTCCCCTATGTCTGGGAGAGCGGTGGCTGCAAGGGTCCGTCTGGTGGTGGTTTCGTTTTCTCGGGTTTAAATAAGTACTCGATTTGTCCGGTGTCAAGGGTTACAATTCCTCGTGTGGCTCAGGATCAGTATGCTCAGAACTAGGGAAGAGTGTTTCTAGGTCCGAGGCGAAGGAAGGGATTTGCTTTTCTGAGCTACTGAAGGGAAGTGTAGTTCGGAGGTTACTCGTGTTGGGACCATCATAAAGGATGGGTTGATGATTGATGCTGGGAAGATGGGGACGCCCATGAAGGAGCAGTTGATTTGGACAATTAATAATGGGATGTTACAGGACACGAGTGGTGCTAACGAGAGTAGGGTCTGGTAGATATCTTCAACTGTTGGACTGTCTAGATGGAGAGCTGGCCGTGATGGTGTGAGTATGTTGCTGTAGATTTGTATTATAGGTGTTTGGTTCTATGTAAATGTTGTTGACTTTCCAGATAGGGTGAGAAAGGATGATGATGTTCAGGAAAGAAGATCGGAAATACTCTTGCTTTGCCTTTAATTAGAGCAACGCTACTTTGTATATTCTCAACCTTCTCCCCTCCCCCTCCCCCTTCTCCGATGCGACTTATAAATTGACCATCCCAGAAAAAATGTCCCCATCTGAACTTACCCTAAGCAACGAAGGGGAATGTGCATCCCAGTTGTGGTGATCATTTTGATCACTGACCCCTAGGCAAGGCTTGCACTTCAAACTGCGTTGATGATGATGAGTAGGCTGATGGGTGAAACTATGATGAGACTGGAAAGGTCTAGGACGTCAGAATGCCTGTGATGAGAGCGAGGCAACTGAGTAACTGCTTAACCAACTCGTCAAGTTTCTTGCCAAGTCAGACGGGGTGATGCCCTGGGAAGGTTGGGACCCTAGACTATCGCTCGCTCCCTACAATATTACTGCGAAACATTGTCTGGTCAATTTTGTGTCTTGGTAGATCTATATATATATCATGCTAGCCAATGGAATCTATTATAGCGTTGAACTGGTGCCAACAGGGGCATTAGTTTGGTTTCATCTGTTATACTAGGTTTAGTATGATCTGCTCTAAAATACTTATTTACTACTGATATCATATCCCGCATGGTGTTTCTTAATCTAATTCCCACTGAAAATACATGGATTGGCGATCAGAGTAGTGCTGGTAATTGGCCTGTTAACTACAACATTGTTATAATTGATCGCCAGCTTATGTTCCTCCTCTGCTTCGGTGCATTATACGGAACATGATGAGAATGGCAGAACCCAATCTGTCAGGGGGTTTTCTTTCCCATAGTTTCTCTGCAGAATGGACATGGTTGCATTATAATTATATAAGGTAGCTTTCACAACTGTTCTGTCTTGTATTTAGCTGACTTGCATTTAGCCATTTTTATATTGCTTCTGCAGAAGCCTGCTGTAGAAAAGATATAAATCTCCTTATTATTTCTCTGAACTCCCTATCTCAGCACTTGGACCCTCAGTCCATTCCTTCCAACCCCCTCCTGAAGACAAGATTCTAAAATGACACCTCGAACATCCATCGCAAGCCTCGCGTGGTTGAGCGGCATCCTCCTCCTCCTCTTAACACTAGGTACTCTGGGCTCATGTTCCCTCCCATCAACCTACAGTTGGACATCAACTAGCGCTCTCACCCAACCTAAGTCCGGCTAGACTGCCCTTAAAGACTTCACCAACATCGTCTACAATGGCCAGCGCCTCATCTATGCCTCAACAACAGACACATCTGGAAACTACAGCTCAATGAGCTTCTCCTCCTTCACCAACTGGTCCGACATGGCCTTAGCAAGCCAAAACCCTATGCACTCAGGGAATGTCGCCCCAATACTCTTCTACTTCCGGCCCAAAAACATCTGGATCCTAGCCTACTAATGGGGTCCGACATCCTTCTCCTACAAGACATCTAGCACAGAAGCCTCCGGCAACAGTTAGTAATTTGGAGAAATAATGATGGCTAAGTATTCCTGTGCCAGCTCGAGCAACCACAGGCTGAAAATTAGAGGAAAGAGACTGTAGCCAGCGGTAAGGCCGCCACTATGATAGCGATGTAGTACTGGTCGAGGGAGAGAGAGTAACTGCGCCTGAGATGGCTCATTCAGGCTCTTAGGATAGAGCACATCCACAGTGATTATATGGGCGCTAACCATTTTATAGCCGACGGAGATGATAGAGAATGCGTTAAACTGCGACAAGTCAGTCGCACCGAAGGTCAAGCATCTATTTTAAAAGTAAATGGAGGTCTGGTCTAGTAATTAAAAAGGCTGCGCGTGAAGAGTAAAGCCCTTATCTGTATATATATTTAACTATAATTTATCACTCACTTTATGTATGTCGGGAGCGAAAGCTAGCTAAACCTTCTCTAATATATTAGTTAAACTCGCATTCTCGACAGAAGAGGAAAGTCAAGTAGGTCCATAGGGTGTTATATATTAGGCAACCATTCCTTTGCAGCTACCGCCTGGCACAAAGCGACGATGAGGTGCTTAATTACTTCTGGTGTCTGCTCCACAAACCCATATTAGTATCACACCAAAGTGAAACCATGCATTGCCCTAAGAACAGAAAGATAAGCAGAATCATTTCTCAGACTTGTCCGACTAACCTGAACAGGCACCTGTTAAATCCAGATGGTAGTTAGTTAGTTAACTATTTACTTCTGCTGATTAAGTGCAACAGCCCCTGCCGAAAAGACCTGCCCAGAATAAAGTTAAATTAAGCTAACTAGTGGGGCCCGCTGGACGGCCCACTTCCGGCCCTGAATGTAAGGTTAATTAAAGCTTATAGGAGTTAAGGAGCACCTCCAAATGGGGAAGGCTTAGACGCCATGACTCAGTGCATAGTCCTCTTGGTCTTCTTCCATCTGTTCGCATTCCCACTTCCATGATTTTTAGTAATAATACTGCGCTCGCGGAACCAATGGGCAGTGAATAACACAGCTCCCCAATACAGCAGCAGAGTGCTAAAGCCTGCAATGCTTATGCTTGAAAAAAGGTAAGCCACTGTCCATTGTGAAGAACTTAGCTATTTAGATTTCTCTAGCCCGCACTAAAATAAAATATAAATTAAATTTCTGTTATAGCTCCATGTCAAGGGTAGTGACGCACTTGTTCTCCATATGGGAGTGCCTCCCAGTACCGTAGTAAGAAGACATTGGATTTGGAGTTTATAACTAGAGGTTGCGCCCCTCCATCCTGTTTGAGAACACAATGCCACAAGCATGAGGTCTCTATCGCAGACAAGTATGATACATAAGAGGATGACACACTGTGAGTTTAAGGCACAGTATCTACATGCATGCGTGCACAAAAAGTGTTATTGATGGTTCATTTCAGATTCATTCCAGGGTGGGAGTGTTATTACAGAATTGGGCGCACTATATGGCATGAAGTTAATATCACTGGGCCAGCTTAGTAAGACTTAAAGGCTGCTACCTCTTGCTTATGGATAATTTATTGATGGTCCCCTGGTTTATTAATTTTGCTCTTCTTTGACGATCCGCATAAGAAGATGTGTACCTAAGAGATGGAATAGATATTGCATCAGACTATACCTCCTAGGGACCGAGCAGCGGTGGAGAGTTGGCTGGCTGTGAATCTGGTTTGATTACAGCCTGTTCCCCTCAACGCGGACTTTCTTTCCAATCTAGTCATCGGACTGTGGAGACGTGTATATTCTAGCTGTGGAAGAAAGCTACCTCGTCTACTTGGGCAAGCATAGAGTAGAAATAGTTTGCGTGGTGTATGGCTCCTCAGATTTCTTAGCTACATTGGTATTCAAATGCCTTTATGTTTTGATGGGACTTAACGCCCCAATCCATGGTACTGAAGCAGTACTTCCCAGCCAAGACCTCTAATTTGGCCCTTAAGGAACATTACAAAGCTATAACTTGCTTTCAAGGAGAGATAAATTAGATCTAACGCACTCCTTAGTCCTTACACACTCTTTCTAACCATTATCCTGCTGGCTCTGACGCAAATTACTGATTCTGACCCTAGGATTATGGCAAACAGCATTTATTTGGTGCCCGCATCTTGATTAACAGTATGCTCCAGGTCACATTTATGTTGATAACTAAGGACCCTGTTATTCAACTCTGCCTGGGAGTTTATCTGTACTGGGATATGTGCAGTTCATTCTTGGTGGAACCATATGAACCACGTCCACGGGGTCTCAACTTATTTAATATATTACTTGCGGTGCATAGGATGGGTGACTAGTACTATCTAATGTACAGAACATGTAGCTGGCTACTTCTTATCATAGTAAATGTCAGATGATATTGCCGACAGATTCATAATATGCCACAGAACCACCCCTCATGCGGGAAGCCATGCTAGAGTCCTAGCTTAGTACATGAATGACAAGCCCCCCAAATCCCGACCTGGGCTACTTATATGAAGCGTTCCGCACCCACGGGCTTGTTTTCCTCTATCAATCTCATGCACACGCACAGAGAGGTTGTCCTATAGATCCAGATGTAACTGGAGCATAAGAGTCTTTAATCCTATAGTATGCTAAAAAAAATAATCTGCTATCTAATACTAATTCCTGCGTCCTTGTACTACCTTAATTTTCAGTCCCTCCCCCTTCTCTCAGCTAGATCTAAATTAACTGAATTGAATCACTTCCTGCATGATAAAGTGCGCAGCAGACTGTGTGCTATCTACTCTTTAAATTGCCTCCCCGCAAATCTAATGGCCCTTCAACTTATTGAAGACCTCTGGGATGTCTAAGACAGTGGTAATCCCTGCTTCTAGCTATCACACATGCTGCAGAAGGGTTAGCAGTTACTTCTAGCATGAGGCATATTTTGTCAAATCTATGCTATTAGTCCTTTTGATGTACGCCCACTATTCTCTGAGGGCTCATGAAAATACTCTTCTAACCATGGCGCAGAGTACCACTCCTCTATACTTTGTTCTTTGCACAACCCTAGAGGACATGTCAGTCTGCTATTGAGAATATTATTGTGCATAGTTAAATTACTCAACACTTTTCTTTTTTTAGTGATAGCAGTCAGGTCGGCTAGTCACCATATTCCGAAAATTCCTCTAGTCAGTCCATCAGAGAACTGTCATATAATATCTACTAAATTACCTACACAGGCTTGCCTTATGATCACTATGCGTTTCTCATCAAGGCAATGGCGACCAGTCCGACCATGTCTTCCAGGATGTCGGAGACATCCAAAATGAAATGACACATGGCCATAACCGAGCAAAGAAACCAGACGGGTCGGCCATTTATCAAAGCGAAAATGACGAACTGAGGGAAGATAAATGACTCGGCCTGTTCAACATCCTTTCATGCTCCAGCAGGTCTCTTTCGCGCGTCCTATACTGAAGCACTTCTTTGGCTGCATGGAATACTAGCATTGCTTTTCGGTTCTTGTGCCGGAATTGAGCTCCGAGCGCGCACATAGCTAGGAGGATCTCCGGCTCGCAATCATCAATCGGAAAAGTTGGAATGTGTATCATCGGGTAATGAGGGTAGAACCCGTCGAAGAACCCATTCCCTAGTCGTGGCAATGAATGACATGACGGTAGATTGTTAGCCGCCTCAGTGGAATGGGCCTGGCTCAGTGTTTGGAGCTGGCGTTCCCGATGTTGACTAGTGACGGTCAGGATAGCCAATGTCAAAACGCAAAATTCCGCTGCAATCCACGGTCAGCGTGCGAAGTCTGCCGCCATCGTACATTGGGAAAATCTTACCAACGGCTTCTCGCTCGGTGGGTAACTTGCTCAAACATTGATCATCACCTGAAACATATCCCTCGAGTGGCCGTGTAGTGGATGGAGCTGACTGGGCGTTGAAACTGGACTCTCCCGCAAAGATCTGTGTGATGCAAGGCTCAGTTGGGAGATACCATTCATTGTTTAGACTTGTGTTTTAGGCCTAGCTAGCCTGCTAGGCTAGTCACCCTACCCCCTTCTGAAAGGTCTGGTCAGCTGTTAGCAATGAAAGATAAGGAGATAGACTATCTTATAAGGTTTATCACCTTATTAAGGTACATAAGATATCTTACTTATAGAGAACTAGCCTAACATCTTAACCCTCTATTGGACTCCTTTCTGACAGATGTATCGCCTTAACCAGGCTTAACCTGGAGCTAAAATATTATTATCAATACTGTATTGATTAGCTTCTTGCAGTTGCATGACAGTCTGGAAAAAACCTAGTACACCAGAAGATACCCGTACCATGGCATGTTGCGTGGCACAAGCCACCAAACAGATTTCTTTACTTGATACTAGTAACATGACCAGCAAGCACTTCGCCATCTCCAAAGTTTGGCACAAGACACTGTAAAATAGAGTCAAGGCAGCTGCTACACCTCAGGAACAGCATAGTTATGCAGCCTGTATATGATCGAAGATGGTACTGTCCTGCATAACTAGCGCAACTTTTCAGTCCTCATTGAAAAATACCTTGATGCTATCCACAACTGCGTCAGCACCATGAATACGGTCCCTGCCTTCAGCTCCAATCCATTCTCCATTTCCAAGGTCCTCTCCTTTAATTATGTTCGGTTCACCTCCCTTTCCACCAACCTCATAGTGGCGGCGCTTGTTTGTGTCGAACTCAATTGCGTCGACATAGCCTTCATTGTGTCCCGCGCGGATGGTCATGGAAGTTATCATTTCATTATCTCCGAACTCGAACGTTTTGTGGATATTGGGGTTCTTTTGGCCAACCAGCGGGCCTGTATAGCCATCATCCCAGGTGAATTGGAATCCATTGACGACATCATAGCCATCATAGCTCCGTCCCCAGGCGTCAATTTTTTTGATTTTGTGGGCCCCATGTTCGGCCTTGTAGTAGCTGCCCCCATAACCACCGTATGGGCCGTCTTCAACACGTTGCATGGTGGG